TTTGCTATTCTATAGGTTGTGTCTAGCAGCCATGCATCACAATGAGAATGCTGACCGTGAGCAAGCCACAACAGCTTCGAAGTGGCCTATCCAAAATCAAAGAGGGGAGAATGTACCGCTAAGCCTGTAAAGAAGGACTCTACATGCAGTAAGTTGTGAAATATTTGTGTTTTTATTACAAACATAACTTACATTTTAAATGATTATAGCCACACTGAATTATATATACAATGAAAGTGTTACATGAAATAAAATAATAAATTATTATATGAATGCTATATTTTTCAGTGTACGTGGGTGAGCTGATGAGGCTGGTGTTTGAGGAAGTCTTTGAGGACCCAGCACCCTTTGTGGAGGAGATGAACACAATCTCCATCCCAAAGGACCTGTCCACTCAATTTGACAGGCCCTCAAAGGAGGAAGTGGTTACCCCGCCCGCCATGTCTCCCGTTTCAGTCAAGGGGAGGTCGGAAGCCAACCTACTGTCCAGCCGGATTAGGAAACTCCTGGCGTATCCGGCGGACAACACATGACGGGAGGACCACTCTGATGCCTCGTCCTAAAAAGCCCCGGCAGCAGCTTACAAAGCTGCGATGGGCAAGATGCCGAAAAAAGAAATGGATGATATACAGTGTGTATATGTAAATATTTACACATGTTCATTTTGTACATTTCTAAAAATAAAGTTTGATGAAAATACTTAGTAGCCTTTCTTCCATGAATTATTTGCTCCTATAACAAACCATGATTTCATTTTTCATCAAACACAGTAGTAGTTTATTACAGGTAAGAATAACTTACTCTTCTTCCGTTCTACGCCTCAAAGGTCCATAATCGAATCTGTACATGTTATGGAGGTTCTTCAGGGTGTAAGAGTTGAGACAGTTTGGCTCTAGTCCTGAGTGGTGTACCATGCACATAATAGGTGCTGGGACTTGGTTCATTGCAACACACTCTAACTCCATAAACGTCCAGGAGCGACGCTTGGTCAGGGTCCCCGAGGCCTGCAGTTGTGACGCTCCAATCAATGTTGTGTAATTAACAAGGATAATCTGGTGTTTTTTAGTTGATGAGTAGTGCAGATATCACTGTCAAATCAATCGACAGTAAGGGGAATACTTACTTCCGGGTGTACAATTCTCCGTTATCCAATGGGAGTGGGCGCTCACATTGCCGACACAAACGAATGCCGTGCTTCCATGAGCGTCAAATCCCGCCGCAGATGGGAATACATTGCAATCAGTTGAAAGCTATTTGCGTCCCTTTATGAAGCTGAAGGAGCCTAGGAGCGTCACAACTGCACGCCTCGGGGACCCTGACCAAGCGTCGCTCCTGGACGTTTATGGAGTGAGAGTGTGTTGTTCATTCGCGTTAAAGCTATAGGAAGGTAAGATATTTGTAACATAACACGTTTAGCAATTAAACCATCCATGGCAAGGTTTACAAAATAAACATTCAATTACTAAGGAAGAAATAAAAGGGCATATAATAGTCTATTGACTTGACAAATATGTATGGTGTATATAATGTTGTGTGCTACTGTTGGTGTTTCCAGCTAGCTGGCTACATAACGTTGTAACTGTCAGCTAGGCTACCTTTCTAATTTCTTTGCAACAGACGTTTTCCACTTCGGTAGGCATCATGGCGCAGTTTCCACAAGTGCACCAAAATAACAACAGTTGTAGGTATAGTTCGGTTAGTTAGCGGGAAGGGGTGAGGAGGCCCGTGTTCTCCGGAGGAGCCGCAGAGCCGAAGTACTTCTCGTTGGGACGACCGAGGAACGTATGACGTGCCGCGGTGACAGAGATTGACTATGCATTGTTATTATTATTGTTGTTTAAAGGAGTGAGTGTTAAATCTCTTTTTTTCGAAAATATGTTGGGTTTCTTCAGACTTAAATCTCAAAATCCTTTTTTTTAATACTTTTGATCACATCCCAAAATGTTTCCTCATGTCATATTTCTCAAGACACTTAATTGTGTGTCAAACCAAAACCAGGCTTATGTTTACATGATAGTTATAGTGAATTCAAATATTAATTAAATGTACAGACATTTTATTTTAAGTTTTAATTTCTTTTTAACAATTAAAAAAATATGATTTATTGTTTAATATTTACAGATTCTGATCTATGAACTATGAACTGACGGTTGGCCTGTTTTCCATCATCATTATTATAGAAAATAAGTAAATATTGTAATATTATTAATATATGTTTTTATACATTTTACTTGAGTGAAAGAAGTTATACAACTTTAGAAAAAATTCTGTTATAAGTAATTATTTAGAATATTTATTTTTATTTATAAATAAATTATCAAAATAGTTAATCTGATAATCTCCTTATATATAAAATATAAAACTACATTCATATACCACACACATGTTTTCAAAGGCTTTGAGAATATAGCTTTATTGATAAATACAAATATATAATTTCATATAATAGACACAAAACTAAGAGTGAAGTTCCCTGCACATAAAATAAACATATATTTAGACAACAGTTTATATACTGACCTGAGTTCTGCATAATAATATATAAAGCTGAGAACAAACAAATCAGCAGCAGTTTCATATTATGGGATGTAATGATGAGTCCAGCCTGCAGGGGGCGCAGTGCTCCACTGTTTACATTGAAAACAAAATAATAACAAATACACTACGAAGCCAATATGATGCATATTTTAACATGTTATTAATATAACTTAATGTATTTGATGTATGTGTTGTTGCTTATGAATGCCCTGCATGTCTTCCTGTGTTTTCCTTTATTTAAAACATTTAATAAGGTGGAAAATACACAGAAATAACTGACGTAAAATATGAAAAACTTACACTGTTTCCAACGACTCTTAATATTCTGTGATCTTGATTGGCTCCAAATTATAATATGTTTAAACTTGACCTTTGCTTTAACTTTCTTCCAAGTTTCATTACAATTAAGGCACTAGTTTTTCTGTATTTCTGCTAAAAACAGACAAACTGAACCAAAGACTCAACATGTATATGTAAGTCCACATATGTTTTGCCATATATTAAATCCCCATACCATAACAAGTCTATAAAACATATAAAAACCTCAATAAATACACAATAAAAAGGTATAAACTAAACATTAGAGGATCAATATAGTGGTTATCCTTTATACACAATGTAGTTGGTGCTGAGTTCAGGTGCAGTGGGAGAAACGGGCTCTCAGTGGTCGGTGTGTTTGTACTGCAGACTGGTTCCATGGTTCAGAGGCAGCATGCTGTTGGAGAGAGAGCCAGAATAACACCAGCAACACAGACAGGACTACAGACAGACAGACAGACGACAGACAGACAGACAGACAGACAGACAGACAGACAGACAGACAGACAGCACAGACAGACACACAGACAGACAGACAGACAGACAGAAGGAGAGAGACAGACACAAAGACAGATTTATTTAAGAGGACATATTCTGCTGATGTTCAGGTGTATATCAGTATGTAGTGTCTCTACTTTAAAGAGTCCTCTCCTGCTGATGTTCAGGTGTATATCAGTATGTAGTGTCTCTACTTTAAAGAGTCCTCTCCTGCTGAGGCACAC